CACACTAACTACACAAGATTTGCGCTAAACGTTGAAAATCTCTCACATCTCAAAACACCGCCGTCACTCCTAAAACTTCCCCCTTCCTAAACAACTAAATGCCATTTTGCCATATCATTTTTTGATTGGTAGACCAGGTTTCATTTTTCGACCAATAGGAAAGGGTGGGGTTTTTTTTGCGTTGTTTTTGCTCACAGGCGGAGAGTGCTTTTGAGCGTTTTCCTTATAAAACGCTGTTTTTACCGTTTCTTCCCGCAGTAAATATAAACAACGATAGTATTCGGGAAGAAAACCAAACATTGCAGATATTTTTATCATAACTCCGGTTTTACGTGGCCTATCAACACAATTTAAAAACTGGTATAAAGTCCACACTTTTTCCGTCAATTGTTCCATCTGTCCTGCTCACATCTCCAATGATTGTACACGTTGTCATTAACGTGGCTTCCCTCCATGTCAGCCATGCCGCTTTGCTAGCTAAAACACCGGTATCGGCACATAAGGATGCTGTCATAGCCTGTCAATGACATTGATTAGCTGCGTATATACGAATGTGAATCGCATTATTGGCTGGACTATAGGTGGCATCGTTCTAATCCCATACGGGAGCAGCCGGTCACTTACTAACACTGCAAAGCAGAATTGTTAAAATATTAATTTTAATTTCAATTCAGGTTAGGTTTTTGTTTTTTTTTTCTGTGCAACGCAGATTTTCTGTGCACAGAGACCGTGCCAGCAGTGCGCAATTGCGCACGTGCGCAGCTTAGAGGGAACATTGGCTGTAGCTCTAGTGGTAGAGCAGGTTACCTACTAGGGTTGAGTCCGAGTCTGCTCCACTTGCATGCCAAGTGTCCTCGGGCAAGATACTAACCCCATGTTGCTCGTATGAATCTGTCTGACTGTTAGATAGGAAGTACTTAGAAAAGGGTAGAAAAAAGTGCTTGTGCGAATGGGTGAATTTACAAGCACTTTGAATGCTCAGAGTAGAAAAGCACTATATATGAACCAGTCCATTTACCATTTACTAGTGCTGGACCATATCATATCGTAATACTGATATAATGTTCGGCAACGATAAGAAAATGAAATATCGCGATAGAATATGGGTAAAACGCACATGCGCAGTGCCTTTGTTTTCATACGCACATAGCTGTAAAAGCATGGCGGCGACAAAGAATGAGAAGGGCGAAAGCGGATTGTTGGATGAAATGGATGAACCATAATTGGTTTGTAAAAATGCTGCAACTTCAGTGGTGTGGAACTGGTTTAGCTTTCGTCCGTCAGATACACAACAAAGCACTATTTTTGGTAGAGCATGCTAGCGGGCCATCGTTATTACCGTGTTTTTTGGAAAACTTAACTCTTAAAATCAATCCTTTGATTTTTCTGAAAATCAACAGTGCCCCTTATAATCCCGTGTGCCTTATGTATAAATTCCGGTTGTGTTTACTGACCTCGAAACGATTTTATGTGGTACATAGCGCTGGAAAATCTGTCAAATGTTTTAGTACGACTTTGCTAAGCTACGAATCCGCACCGCTTAATGGATTGTTGGGCATTATGGCTATCGTAGGCAGGAGCCTCGCGGAGTGATTCGTACTGGGTTTCAGCATAATATTACTGTATTGTGTTGTATAACCTCTTTTTAAGTTTTGTGGATATTATACGTGGTTATGCTGAGGATTTAGGCGACCGTGGCGCTGGCGTTGGGAAGCGCATCTGTAACCGG